CATCATCCATGGCGGTAAAACAGGTTGGACTGCTCAATCGTTTGAGCCGGCCACGTCTGTTAGCCACATATATGCGTCCATACACCGAGTACTCGGTGCAGGCCTGGAACCCATGGCTGCAGCGAGATCGGAAGGCACTTGAACATCCGCAGAGAATGGCTACCAAGATGGTCAAAGGTCTACATTCCAAAACCTATGGCGAAAGATTACAGCTCTTGAAGCTATACTCGTCTCAATATCGTCAAATCAGAGGTGATATGATCTTATTGTATCGGATTTTCCAACAGCCCAACCATCCATGTAGATATCTTTTGGTTCTATCAACCAATGTTCATCTCAGAGGGAATCCACTGAAGTTGGCACACCAAAAGAGCCGTCTCGACTGCAGACGCCATTCATTTGCTGTCAGTGTGCAGAAAATGGAACTCTTTACCACCTCGCATGGTCTGTGCGCCAAAATTAGTATCTTTCAAGCGTCAGCTTCATGATGCTCTGGTAAATATTGTTTCAACACCTAACCACATAATATATTCTCCTGTACTCGTCAAAAACATTATATTACTATTTTACTTCCATGGACTAATTGTGATCTTGTGAATCGTGTTCCGAACCAATATGTAAACATCCTATGGGATTTGATAAGCGAAGTTTTTATAAGTTTTTTCCCATAACAAAAATTTGAATTTGAATTTGCGTTCACGCACAGAACTGTTAAAATGCATCAATATTAATACTTTTTGAGGTGGTACTGGATGCATGCTGGTCGGAAACATTCTCGGAGGTTGGTGTTAGGTAAACGGTATCCTCGGTGGATTCCGTTGCAGCTTGCGAGGCCAAAATGTATGAGACCTGTGATGCGATTATTACTAAAAATGCTCACAATAAATGCCCAATGGCAAGATGTGCCTGGATGACCTAAACTGCTTGGCGTATAAGGAGTACTGTTTGTATATAAATAGCACTCCTTACACGGAATATATGGGTTATCATTCATCAAAAGGAATACCGGTTTATTTGTCAGTACAGCTTTATCGTAAAGGGGTGATAACTAGGATCGCGTTCTATGCAGATATGACATATATGAGGCTGAATATGTAGCAACGGCAGAAAAGAAACAAAGGTCCAAATTTCTACCATAAGTGTCAATCAACAGGTTGGACACTGATTTCTTCACAGTGTGCATAGAATGCTGCGAACTTCCGCTTCAGGTCGGGACGCCATCCTTTTGATCAAACCGTTATGATTTCTGCATAGTATCTTTTGGTACATCAGCGCAACCCCTCTCGGGATACCGGGGCAGCAGTAGCAATGAAATGACACTTCTTAGCCTCCGAGAATTTGGACCACCGCGAGAGAAAATCGGCTTGGGGAATTACTTTTCCCGGACGATGCACTATATCGTAGTCGTAAGCAGCCAATGCAATGCTCCATCGCTGAATCATCGCCGCCGTCGGTTTGGAGATCGACTTTTGTGGACTGAATAGATATTGCAACGCTTGATGATCGGTTATGATGGTGAAACGCAATCCGAACAGGTATTTGTGTAGGCGATGGACGGCCCAATATACAGCCAATGCTTCTTTCTGCATCTGCAAAGATCCTCGTTCTGCCTTCTTGAGTAGACGGAAGATGCAGACAACCAGACATCCGTTCTGTTCAAGGACATCCCATGATGGATGTGAGTTGGTTTTGGTCTCTTGGTGACTCGAGTTCAGTCAATGGGCGGAAGCGACTTGGATCAGGGCGACAGCGTTGTGTATCCACTGTGAAACCCAAAAATTCCAATTCTGGTGAGCTGAACATGCATTTGGAAGCGCGAATTGACACGTTCTTTATGGCGAACCACTCCAGTAGTTTGAGGAGTCTATCGTCATGCTCGGCCTTTGTTGTACCAAACACAATGACGTAGTCCTGGTACGGTAACACGCCATCGAGTCCGCGGATGACTTCGTCAATCGCCGCCTGGAATATGCCGGAGGATGTGTGGAGACCAAACGGTAGGAAGTTGTATTGATACAGTCCCCATGATGTGTTGATAGTGGTGAATTGCCGGCAGGTTGGGGCGAGTGAAATCTGGAGGTATGCATCCGCCAAATCAATCTTTGAGAAGCATGTGCTACCGTGCAATGCTTTCATGAAATCCTCCGGTTCCATGGTGGTCGCCGCACACTTTCGCAACCGCGGGTTGAGGGTTAATCGGTAATCACCACAAATTCGCAGTATTTTGCCGTCACTCTGGATAGCGATCACGATTGGCTTTGCCCACGTACTGGATGTGACTAGTGTGATTGTGCCTTCGCGCTCCATTTTCTCAAGGGCCTGCAGTACACCATCACGTTGGCCGTAGGGAATTACACGTTGTTTCAGGAAAATGGGTTCACCATCAACTTCCAGTTTAACCGGCTGTACGTTCATACCTCCTGTATTATTGGAACATTTCACGACCATGTGCTGTAGATGGGTGTGCATATTAGACATAAAGTTTGTATGGAGCGACACACGATGGTTCAATTCACGAATGGCGGTTAGGCCAAGTTTGCATGGACTGCTTTTAGCAATTAGGAAGTGGATGGGAACAAGGCGATGTTCTTTGGAATGTACCATCAATGAAACCTCACCAATCAATGGCAATTTGTTTGCAGTCACCCCAAGGATTCGCACGGATGTCGGATGGATTTTGGCTTGGGGACAGATTAACTGAAACACAGCAATAGAAATGATAGACTCCATGCTTCCTGTATCAACAATGATTTTGTGCGTTGTGCCGGACTGTTATGTCACATCTGTGTATAGGAATTGGATGCGTTGGCTTTCGGATCGTAGAGAGAGCACCAGATTTGTGTCATTCGCAGCAGTCGGCTGTGCAAGATTGCAACGGGGCTGTTTGCACACTCTCAGAATGTGGCCAGTTTTCCCGCATGCATGACACTTGGCATTTCGGAAGCGGCAATTGGAGCGCAGATGGTAAGCTCCACATGACAAACAGGGATTGGTACGTTTCTCGTTGCCTGAAGAGTCGTGCTGCGGCTTCGGTATACACTTGGCCATTGGAGGTCGGTTTGGTCGGGTCTTCTGCCGTTGGAATAATGTGACTGATTCGCTGGAAGTAGCTTTCATCAGGTCGCCGTGTTGCTCACAGATCTTGCGGGCATCGGCAGAAGTTAAATCTTTCTTCTCCAGGAACTTCCGTTGAAGAGTCAGATTATTGATGCCTGCCACCAAGCGGTCACACATTTGTTCTTCCAGGCGATCACCATAGTTGCAGCGTGATGCTTGTTTGTTCAGCTGCAGGATGGATTCACGGCAGGAAACATGATCGGCACGAATAATGGAGTTGAATTTGGCCCTTTCATGTGCTTGGAATTCAGTGGGTAGCAGGTAGTTGAGCAGCATCAATTTCAGGGACTCGTATGGTAGTTTAGCCGGAGCCTCAGGAAACGCCAGGTTTCTCAACAGGGAGTACAGGTCACGGCCGCCAGAAGTAAGAAATAGAGCTGATCGATTCTGTGTACCACCTTTGCGAATGCTGCACCACAGCTCGAATCGTTCGACCCATTCCTCGAAGGTTCAGTTGCTCAATCGTTAGGAGCTCCACCACGCCAATTTGTAATGGTTGTAGTAGTAGTAATACACACGGAATTCGGAACACCAACCACGAAATAGGAATCACAGAACCCGAATCAATAATCAGCTATCACGGACTGGATCTCAGAAGCACTGGACCACAATGGCACGGATTCGCAATGTCCCACGAGAACGAGACGCAAGGAAAAGGCCACAGGACTGACAGTAAGTAGTTCGTTTATTGAAAGAAATGAAGGTGATTAANACAAAGGGAGATTATTGGCTATCTGGGCTTCCACCAATGGGATTGCAGTACTGCTTGCAAAATCTTGCTTCTGTCTGCACTGTCTTGGATTGGCTGGCACCATCTACCAATGACGTGTATTCAGAAGCCATGCACGTGTCATTGACATCAGCATTCAAACTTCATTGATCGCCATCGTGTAGGCCTGGATCACCACAGTTACGCATGTCACCAAGTAGGTTGCCACGACGAGCGATGCTCGCCGAGGTAAGTGGGTGGACTAAAATCAAGGGTGGTCNGAGGGCATGAAAACTAGAAACAAGGAACTGGGTCACACAGGTCTCGTGAGACTCCCTGGATGGGGACCTCGGGATGATTGTAACCGGTTGTTGGAGACACTGGGTGATATGAGTGGGTGTCGTAAACAGCGGCCTTCGTGCATCTTCTCAATTTATTTGCAACATTAGTCCACTGAAATTTTCCACTTCCTCTTTGACCCTACTTTCAACTTTTCTGCCTTTTTCACACTGTTCATCCAAAAGGGCAACCATAAGACAGTCAAAAAAACCAGCGCGCGAAAGTGCATGATTGATGGTTGTCCAACCCAAACTGAAGCTGAGTTTTTGGCTACTTTGTTCGCTACCACAAAGTTAACGGGTTCCCATTTTCTCCCCAGTTTATTTATTTCATTTTTTATCTTATAGTTGGATATGCTTTAGATAAACCATGTAATAAACACTAGTGTTTCCTGAAATTTATTCAATAACCTAGAGTACACACAGTATTTTTATTACGGCTTTTGCTTACTTGTAGCTTACTATGAATCATAAATTATCGGTTTCAAAAGGTTTATAAAGAAGTGCGGTTTATAAGCGCTTGACCATCCATTCACTTAAGGTGATATGTACTAATGGGGACAGGTGGTTAAACGGCATAAAACTATTATATAAATCTACACTCGTTATTGTCCATTAGCGCTAGTTAGAGATTCCAATGAATCTGTGGTTCTGTAGACTGAGGTCACGGAAAATACTATTAATGCCAAGTCGAGCTATTCAACTACTGTGGCAGTTCAGGATGTTGATGTATTGTTCACAATTGTTTGGATGAACCTGATCGTTGAGTTTTGTTATCAGAAAGCTGTTACATGATCATTGTAAAAATGTGTTGTACTTATGCATGATCATCCTTCCAGATTTGCACGAAAACCTACCTGCTACGGCAGTTGTTCACCAGGTAGTACAGCAGTTTAATATGTCGATAAAATTCCTCAGAATATTGCTGCGTGATCTAGGATAACTTTACTCTGAGCTCTCTAGAGATCCACATACGTTGTTGCATAATCCCAGAAGAATAACAAAATGTGAGGTGAATTTTGGTGTATATATTCAATTTGGGCAAAGGAAGGAATGACATTGGTCCTTATCGATCTATTCGTCATTAACCGCAGAATACAGATACAAATGCACATGGACCGTATGTTCTTTTTCCTCGGGTCTAACCAGCTACTATGGTCCATATTGGGTCGCGTCTAAAATCTGAGATCACGAGTGCTCATCATAAGGTTCTATAGTGGAATATTCCAGCCCAACAATACAGCATCATGTAATGATGAGAGTGACTAATCGGTGACTTTCGGGTGACTAAGAGAGTGCGTTTTTGGCGAATGAACGATGACTCTTGTGCTGCATGGGATATAATGCTTCTGTTAGATCGATGTCTATCAGGTTCAATAATGGAATTGAAGAATAGCTATTTATTATCACGATCAAGAATATATATATATATGTATATGCACATCTATGTACACTATTTGATTACATATTCGATCTCGCGAATCACGTGCATCATTGTTTAAATAACAGTGACCAAACATTTTCAGTCCTGCTCGTAACATTTGTAGCTTCAACCCAGGTAGCACTATAGTCCCCTTAGAATCCTTTTAGATTCGTATGAGAGTCATCTTAGAGCCCCTTAGAATTTCAGTACTGCTCCATTCGAGTTCGAACGCACCAAAACGGGTTCATTCATGACCATGAGTTCCCGAGACCCTCCCTTCGGACTGTTACAGGACCATGATGGCTGTAATACAACCTAGATTGGAGGCTAATACTCAACGTATTTTTCGTACAATAACAGAATACGTATTTTTGACGCGCTTTCCACCTTTTTCTAACTTTGTACAACATCTATATACCCACATACCATGAACGCTGTAAGCAATAATTGAACTTGGTATGATACGTAAGCTACCGTGAGCTACTTATCATTCAATCCTATTGCATTCACATCTTTAACTCCATCATAATCATAAATGACCAACAAACTTCGGTGCGCAGATTCGATTTCAGTCAATGCTATGATGACACTAATTGGTGTTGGACCAATTGACAGCGAACCGTAAGTAGATATAACGATATGGTATACTAAATATTCAGATCCGCCATGCGATATATTTATCAGAAACATGCCCCTTAAGATACTATCCAACTAATTGTGGTTCATCGTTTTCAGATCTACCAGCAATAGGACAAAGCCAAATGTACAACGATATGATATCCGTTATTTAAACAGAATAATCTTATCATCTTATTTGGCAGTTACCAAATATTGTTTTTCTTCTAGAGCTTTTCCGGTGAAAGAAAAATTACAATACCAACAGATTCTGCAACTAGTTTACAATTGAAGATTTCGAAAGTAATTAACCGCATCTTGCATAAGTTGATAATGTATTAATAACTTCCTTTATCGCAACAAAAGAGGCTAGGAAAGATTTGACTCTTCCTGTTGTAACATTATTCGTCGCGTTAAATAGCCTTACAGCAAACTAATGGTCAATTATCTCAAAAGCAGAGATGATTTGTCAATCATCAGCTGTCAAATTTCAGACAAATACCTGTCAGATTTAAATGATTTGATTGGGAAAATAGACCATTAAACATGTTCTGCGGACTCGGTTGGTGTCCATTCATTTACTTGTTTGCTTTGTAGTTTAACTATCTATACCATGTCAGTGCTGATTCGATCGACCAATGCCTTCAAGCCATGTGCTGACTACTGGTGACCGATCATTTGTGCCTGCGCATAAACTGAGGAGAGCCACGCGGGAAAGCCAACTTTTCTAAAACCACTTTGGTAAAATTGATACAATGAGATAAAAGGTATACAAATTTCTGACTTGGATCTGATCAGAAGCACAATGCAACGGTGGATCCAAAGAACAAGGGAGTTTATTTCAGTTTCGTCCGGAAACTGCTTATTCGCTAATAATGCCATACAGTGTCCATGGTACATAACGACAACGCAATATCTTGTTTGGGTCTCAATGATTATTCATTTCTGCGTACCACGTGATTAATATTATCATACATATCTGCCAATCTATCATTTTCGGTTTTTGATTCACGTATTGCTTATCTAATAACGGTTTATATTCTCAGGTCATTATGCATTTCATTGATATCGTCTATAAAGAATCCTAGATCATATAATTTAGAAATTTTACTAATGTATTTTTATTGTGATACCTCACAATGATATCTTATCTTTTTTATTTTTACTTTTTTTTATTGAATATACGCAGATACAAGTTTCAGGACGCGGCAATTCAAATGGCTGCCATGCAACACACAATGGGAAAGACGGGCGATGGTGGTGGGACTTGAACTCATCCCCCGTGGTAATAACTTGAAGCTGGGTTGGTGGAGGTGAAGATGTTACTCGTAGACCTCTTTCCCTCATAAGCACTCGCTCAAACGTCCCTCAAGATCTTGGACCAAGGTATTTTACACACCACCAATAAGCTGTCTGAATCAGAGACATGCGGCAGACGCATAAGGATCTGGGGGAACTTTCCCGTAGGAGCACCCCCAGTTTACAGAGTTAAGACAATCCGAGATAGCTTCAATCCACCGGAGATTTG